ACTGAGCCACCCAGGCGCTCCGAGCTTCGTGGTGTATTTGTGGAGTAGCACTTCTTATGCTCGTTAGGAACTCTGAGCAGGTCGGCTCTTTTGGTTTTTTAATGTTTGAGGGGCTGTTGTATACCAAGAAGCAACTACTCGTGGGAGCAAAACAGTAAATATAAACAAAAATTATCACCTTTGTAAGGCTCCCTGAAGCTACTTTGATGTGCATGTAGGTTATATGAGGATACTGATTTTTTTTTTTTTAAAGATTTTATTTGACAGAGAAAGACACAGCGAGAGAGGGAACACAAGCAGGGGGAGTGGGAGAGGGAGAAGCAGACTCCCTGTCGAGCAGGGAGCCCGATGCGGGACTCGATCCTGGGACTCCAGGATCATGACCTGAGCCGAAGGCAGTCGCTTAACCGACTGAGCCACGCAGGCGCCCCAAGGATACTGATTTTTTTACAAAACAGATTGAGAACAACATTCTAAAACATGAGCGTAATCTACTGATTTTCTGGTGGTTGATATTAGCTTTTTCTTAAGTTATTTTTCAAAATCAGGACATTTATTCTGAAGTCAGGGTAAATCCTTTCCAAGCTTTAAAAACCTAATCTTACTCCATTCACTTTGCGTCGCCTGTGTCTCTTATTTCCTAAGTTTGTAATTGCTTTTCAGGTTCTTTTGTAATTTCCCCCAGAATACTTAGTAAATAATTTTGTTAAAATATTTATTTACTGTTTCTGAATTAAAACTATGTTTTCCTTTAACGCTTCTTTTCTTCTCTCTCCTCATGAATGTTCCTTCTTTGGCAATTGTCTTTAAAGTGAACCTATCCCTGCTTCGCGCTCTGTGGCCTCCCAGCCTGTAATGGCAAGACTTCCTAGTCCCAGTGTAGCTAAGAGCACTGTACAGCCTGCCAGGTACCGGACAGAAGTAGCTGCATGTGGCCCTCAGGGCAAAGGTCCGAGATAGCAGATGCATCTCATAATCCTGAATGCCTTTCGTGTGTTTGAGAAACGAGTCAGTGCAACGAGTTGCCGTGGGGATGGGTGCCATTTTGCTTTGTCGTAGTGAGAGAGAGAGACACTGCTAACTTCATGTAGGCCTGCATGAGGAAACCTTTCATCTCCCTGCTCACATCATGTACTGGAACTAGGATCGCACTAACTCACTCGTCCATTTGTTTTGTTTCTGTTTTTCATAATCACGGTCATCTCTAAGAAATTTCATCCTCCATCTAAACTACTAGTACTTAATAAAGGTTAATAGGAAAATGAGGATTCGACATGAATGTTGGAATTCCAGTAATACCCCGGTTTTTGTAAGCACTTGTAGTCATAAATACACGCTAGAAACAACCTTATCTGTTTCTAACATATAGAGAGACGAGGCCATGACTTTTTGGGATTGAGACAATAATCGTTTATGGTGTCTGAACTTAGATGTTTTACTACTAAGCTCTGAATTGCGGTGTTTTGAAAGTATGGCCTTACGGCATGTAGGTATCCCCTGTTTCACCGCGAGGGGCCAAAACACAAAGGCCAAAAATAAGATTAAAAGAAGTCAAACGGCAGTGCAGAAATAGATCTGGCCCCACCCAGAAGCAGGGTTCTGTCCAGGAAAGTAGGTGGCCGTTACTCTCCTCTCTCCACACTACACCTCGGAAACATGTGAGACTCAGGTTCCCTTTGTTACTATCTTCATGATGTCCTGGAACGCTGACACTGCTCTTTAGTCTGGGGCAACTTGTGAATTGGTGATTACTTGGAGTTAAGACAGAATGTACTGTCCACTGGGTTTGAGAACTGGATTTGCCAGTGGCCTCAATCCACATTGTCATAAATCTTCCAAGATCAACCGTGACCAGGTAACAGGAGGCCTTCTCCTCCACCCGGAATCTGGAGGGATTTAACAGCACCCGAAATGTCCTTCACTTTTCAAGGTGCTGGGAGTTACAGGTCTAAGTACCTTTTAGAAAACTGGTAGAAAGCTATGAGAGAAAATGCTGCACTGAAGGAGGGAAGGAATCTTTAAAATCGATCCATTTGTGTTTAGCAAGTGAAAATCCAAACTCCTTATTACAGATATGTTGTTGACAGAATGACTATATTATTTCCTAGTTCTATAAAATGAAAAGAATACCTCTGAACTACATGTTTATTTTTTTTAAAGATTGATTTATTTGCAAGGGAGAAAGAGCGGGAGTGGGTGATGGAGGCAGAGGGAGAGGGAGAAAGAGAATCTCAAGCAGACCCTGTGCTGAGTGCAGATCCTGACGGGGGGGCGGGGGGGAGGGGAGTCGATCTCATGACCCTGAGATCATGACCTGAGCCGAAACCAAGAGTCGGATGCTCCACCGACTGAGCCACCTAGGCGCCCCTGAACCACATATTTAGATAATATCTAGACATGCCATAGATAATGTCTTGGGATTCCCTAGGCCTGATTTGTGGTTGATACCACTGATACACTGTCCCTCTAAGATAAAGTATATCCAAGCTGACTTCAGTTCCTTCAAGAAGAAATTTACTTTTTGGAAATAATTCAGAGATAAAGTTCTGCTCTTCGTGAAATTGGTAATGCCTGTGTCCCCACCCTCCCCTGCTACTCACAGGCTTGTTAATAGCTAAACAGTGCCTACACCTGTCTTAAATTTCTGTAGGGAGAAACCAGTCCTTTTCAGAATTAAGTGATGCTTGGAAGAGAGTTAATATTCAAAATTTAGCAGTGGGCTTTTGTTTGTGTTTATCTGTGTCACTGATTTTTTTTTTTTTTATCCCTTTCAGATTACAGGCATCTGCTCACCACAAAGCTTTAGCCAGAGACCAGGCAAATGAGGGTAAAGATTCTGCTGAACAAGGTGAACCTGACTCCTCCACTCTGAGCTTAGCAGAGAAGTTGGCCTTGTTTAACAAATTGTCCCAGCCAGTCTCAAAAGCTATTTCTACCCGAAACAGAATAGACATGAGACAGAGGAGAATGAATGCTCGCTATCAAACTCAGCCGGTCACGCTTGGAGAGGTGGAACAGGTGGGTAGGCTGTGATCTAATCCAGGTTGCGGGTATGTGCTTAAAATACAGGACCACAGTGTTGGCGCCTAGATAGAATTAAGGTGATAAACTGTGTTACCTGTTGGGAATTTGGTAATAACTTCTTTCCTAAGAAATATAGCCATACCAAGTACCTTTTTCTTTTCTTGTTTTCATAATTTGCTTGCTGAAATCATCTGGAATGGGTCCTTTATGGAGAGAAAAATAGGCTGCACAATCTGCTTTTCACCCAGATGATTTTGATTAGTGAGATGCATTATATAAAATACGTCTTCCCTCTAAGATAAGCAGTGAAACCGCATCAAATGTAATAGTTCATTCTATGTCATTCCCTAAACTGAGATTCATGTAGATAGTATTTTTGAGTCAGCTTTTTGTACTTTAACTATGTCCTCCCAGGTGCAAAGTGGAAAGCTCATACCTTTTTCACCTACTGTTAACACATCTGTGTCCACCATGACACCTACAGTCATGCCAATGTATGCAGGGGATCTCCGGACAAAGCGGTCTGTGGACGACAACATGAGTGCCACTGACTATAAGTTTCCTTCTTCGATCGAAAATTCAGATTCTCCGGTTAGAAGCATCCTGAAGTCCCAAGCCTGGCAGCCTTCAGCAGAGAGTAGTGGGAGCAGAGGAATGTTGAGAGAGTTTGCAGAGACAGAAAGCAAGAGAGTCCTGACAGGTGGAGATGGTGGTAAAAAGTACGGGTCCTTTGAGGAAGCAGAGCCATCCTGCCCTACCTTTAACAGAGTCCGGGAAGGAGACAGCCTTAAGGAACCCAAATACGCTGTTCCAAGAAAGGGCAGCCTGGAACTAGCCCATCCTCCCATCGCCCACCTTGGTGATGAACTGAAGGAATTCTCCATGGGTAAAAGCATCGCACAGGGGAGCCCGGACTTGAAGGACAGGCAGCCCTTTGAAGAGAAGGTCGACATGGAGAATGTCCCAAGAAGGAAGTTTTCGCTAAGAGGTAGGTTACTGCTCCGAAAGTTTTAGAAACCACCTGGGTTTTTGGTGTCTGCTTGATTGGTTGTGTGTGTCTGTGATTATTTTTAATTAAAGTAGGAAGACAGTTTATAACTCGTATCGATTACAAATCACAGGTGAATCCTACTCTTCCCCTTGAATCTGACCTGAACTGTTCAGTGGATTAATCAGTTTTTCGATAATAAAAATAACTGGAGCTCTCTCACACATCCTGACAAGGATTCTTGATGACTTTGGGCACATTAACTCACATAAGGGTCTTGTGAGCTGCTAGCCCTGTCGGCCCCTCTTATGAGTTGGTGACCCCAAAGGGCTGAGTAAGCACAGGGAATGAGGGCTTGAACCCAGGACTGCAGAGTTCCAGACTCCTTCCATGGTCCTGGTATGCAGACTAGTAAGCTATACTGCTTGGGGCTTTCATTCTCTTTCTGCATTTACAGAAAATGATCGCGTGTAACTTACCATGGTGGTTTTAGCGTGTGATTCCGGCCATTTGAAATGTAAAAAGGATTGTTTGGGAGGAGGAGAAATGTTCTGTAGTGTGTAGTGAAAGCTCTCTTCCTGTGCCTTGCACGCAGGAAAAGACCAGTTGTCACAAAACCATCTGCTGTGTGCAGTAACCTCCTGGGCAGATTGGTTTCCTCGCAGAGTATAACATGCTACAGATTGGCATGAATCCATGTAGATTGGGTGACACCCCCCCGCACCCCCAGATTGCACTCCGTGTGCGGGACCGCTGGGGGTGAATAGCTGGAGGAATGTCTGCCTGGAGGAGGGAATGCTGACGTGGCTCTTCTCCTTCCCAGCGGCAGAGTTCGGGGAGCCCGCTTCTGAGCAGACGGGCACAGCTGCCGGGAAGACTGTGGCCCCGACCGCAGCCCCCGTGTCCTGGAGGCAGCACGATCCTGCAGAACCGGGGCAGGAGAAGTACTGCAGGAATCCATGTGCGATGTTCGCTGCCGGAGACATCAAAGTGCCCGCGGTGGAGGGCATCCTTGATTCAGCTAGCAAAACCATGTCCATTAAAGAAAGGTAACACGATCGAATGATTGCAAAGTAATTCTGTTGGGGATGGAGCTTGCAAGTTGCTCGTAGAGAAAGCTGTGAGTAATGGGCAGAGATGATGTCGTGAGCACACGGGGTGGTGACCACTGGAGGAGTGCCAGTTTCAGCCTCAGACGCGGGTGTGAGCAGACGCAGACTTGTGCTTGCTTCATTTGTTTGGGGTTCCGTTTTCTTTTTTACTTATGAAATTCTTGGACTGTCCCGTGATGGGAGCAGAGATCTTGGCTCTTTCCCCATCAGACACGTGGCTTCAGACTGAATGCACGCACAGCTTTGTGACAAACTGTTTGACTATGTAAAGTGTATGTAGACGGAATGAAGATAAACCCATATTTGGGACAGACATCTTTGGGATTCGAATCTAAGTTTAGTTTATCCTACAGAAAGTGAAAGGGAGAACTCTTCTGAACATTTTATATCAGATAATAGCTATGAGAGATTACACTGGAGTATCGAGTAACACTGTAACCTCATTTCATTCAAAAAAAAAAAAAAACCCAACCAAAAAACTAATGGAGGATTGAAAGGGTATGTTTAAATGCGACAGGTACAAGGAGCCGGCGCTAAATATTTCAGGTTGTATTTTCCTTGTTAACCTTTAGCCACCATGGAATTAAGCAGCAAAAGATGTCATAGCGATAAAAATACTAGATGCAGAAAGATCTCTGTACTTTTCCAGTGTGACCAGCTCAGCTACACCCACCATCCGCTCTGCCCACCTGGACCCTTCCTTAGCACCTCCCATCATTCGGAAGCTTTCTTGCTCTGCCAGGCAGTGGTCACTCTGATTTCTCCAGATACATTTTGCATTACCTAAGACTATGTATCAAACCACGATCAAAATTCTTCATTCTGTTTTTCAAGCCAAGTTTTTTTAAGCATGATGCATAGAAGGTTAGATAGATGGAGCCTTTCTCAACTGACAAATTAGTAAGATTGTTGAATCTTACTTACTTTTGCCTATTTAAAATTCACAGTAGATGAGACTGCTGGACCGGGGCTTAGATGAAGGGGCTGATGTTACCCCATCAGCTAAATGAGAGTGAGGTCTTGAGTCAGAGAAGCTGTCTGGCCTGTGCTGGCTTGAATTCCTTTTCCACCAAAACCTGGCCCAGAGAGTTTGATCCCAGAGATCCTACTCCTGATAATCGGTTGCATGAGAAGGAAGAGACATCTATTAGCATAATTTATAAGGAGCATAGCCGCTAATAAAGGACGAGAGACACTTCTCTTAGAAAATATATCGCCAGTGATCTTTCCCCCCTTATCTTGATAGTATTTTTATTTGTACTTTGCTGAAAAAACAAAACTGCGTATCTTTACAGCCCATCTGTGATCCTTTTTCCAGAAGTGGGGCTCTGATCCCTCCCTTTTGGTCAGAAAGAAAGAATGAAGCTTGACCTATTTCAAGTAAGAATGCTCTTCATATAGTATCTGGGCTTTCCTATTTCTTTCGTGAGGTGACATATAACATAGAACTTTCAAACCTTATTTTAACTTCTTCTGACTGCCCCGTTCTACCAAAGGAGGGGTTTGGTTCCAAGGGCCACTAAGGCCCACAGGGGGCAATGGGACCAACCCCAGGTGCTGGTCTCCAGCTTCCCCTTGGTAGCTGGGGTGAGCTTGCCACATGCTCACGGCCGGTGTGTTAGCAGCTCACCTGTGTCCCAACTAGGACACTGAGCAGAGGACAGAAATGTCAACGAGGCAGCAGTGGTAGAAAGATTCGCCCTTGTCCTGCGTGAATTTTCTCGATTCACATGTTCTTTGCATGGCTTATTTCCAATTCCATGTTCACATCAGACTCTTAGTAAGATGTAGAGCCTGGACTTTGCAGATTTCCTTCATCATTTTTAGAAAGCTGCAGCTCTCGCTTCCTCAGCCTCGTGTATCCACATCTCTTTTCTGCTCTGGAGGTGGGCGTGCTGAGTCCTCCATCCTGAGGGGCACCAGGGGTCATCTCCTGCCCTTGGAATTTCTCACGGACTTAGTGCTGAAGGCAGCCCTTACAGGGAGGCAATGCTATCCCCGTTTTGTACTTGATAACTGGGACTTAGAAGTGTGTAACACCTAAGAAATTACAGGAAATCCTCAGTATGCTTCTCTTTTAGGGTAGGCCGGAGGTTCAAGGAAACATCCCTAAAGGCTCCTTTTCTTTCTTCCTCTTTTCTGACATCCAGAATGTCAAGTTTGAACCATAACTAGCACAACACATAGGCTTCCGTTGGCTTTTTCCACTGGATTAGTAAAATCAACTGTTTCATAACTGCCTAAAGGATTTGGGTTTAAATTGCCCCTGTTTGGGTACTTCTTTGAAAAATATTATAAGTCAAATGAATTGTGTGTTCTTTAGGGGTAAGACCTTTGAAACCTCTTTTAAAGTATACTAGGCTATCAGAAATCTTATCCACAGTGACCGAAGCAACTGTATCTGTGCTTTCGTATTCAGGAGAAGATCCCTAAAAAAAAGGCAACAAAGCCAATCTCTCACTGGGAAATTGAACTCCCAGAACGGCAAAGAATGCGCCCCTTGGCCCTCGCCAGCCTGTAGTGGTCTGCCCCGCAGAGGCCCGCTCTGGCCCCTGTGTCCCTGGCACCCCCCTCCTCCCACCCTCCCTTGCTCTCCACCAGCCAGAGGCTGTGTCCATGCTTCTCCCACAGGGACTGGAGGCTCTTGCTCAAGATTTCAGCCACCAGATGGCCCCCAGATTGTCATAAGAATTAGGGATAGAGGAGTCTTTCCCCTTTGCAGCCTCCTTCTCTGATCTTTGGTGCGTCCTCATTTAAAAGACACATGAGCTCACTCCTGTGGCCTGCAAACTAGCCAAGACCAAGATCTGATATGAGTACTGATCAGTGCTGGTCCATCCTGTCTGAAATCTGTGTGGTGCCAGTGATTCTCTGAAACGCAGGGGCATTTTTAAAGGGGGAAGGAAAAAAAAAACCCACCATACTTAAGATTAAGGGGCACGCGGTTTGCCTGTTCCACATTTGACCGGGCCCTGACTGCCGTGAGCCTGCAGAACCCGTTCTGATCAGGCCGGCCTCTTAGACCAGGCTGAACACAGCCGTGTCAGGCCTGCGTTCCCCGCTGAGAAAGTGTGGGCCGTGGAGGGGAGAGGCGGACACTTCCCCTGGTGGCCTTGGAAGCACACAGCGCTGTGGCCCCGGGCCAGGCCTTGGGGTTAATAGGCTAACCCAGTGCCGCTGACGGGGTTCCCCGCCTCAGACTAAGCAGATGCCCAGGCTCTCAACATCACAGCCCTGCACATAGCACTTGGACTTGGTGGATGTTAAAAGCGTTGACAGTTGTTTGAATTGCATCGGCAGTAATTTATGTCGTGTGTAGGAGCAGACGTTTGCTCCTCGGCCCCCACCAGCGCACAGTGGTCTCCTTGACTCAGGAGGGTCCTGGAATCGCAGGAGGAGAGAACATGTTAGGAAAGGTTTCCTGCCCTCCCCGGCTTGTTGAACACCAAGTAGGAAATCTGAAGGACAGGAATAATGCATTTAGGTTTCAGCACATGTTATTTTTAAGTTAGCCGTCATTTGCACTCGGTAAGCTAGGGCAGGGTCCAAGCACCGTGTGGGCTAAGTTGAAACACCGGTTCTTCCATGTTATTCTGCTTGCTCTGTAGTCTTTGGAAGTGCCTGATGATGACCCTGCCAACACATTCAGAAGCAAGATTTCAGGTTTTTGGAATGGAGGAATTCTTTGAAGGCCATCCCAGGGGGAAAATACAACATTATAAGAAAGCCAGAACACTATGCAGTTTCTAAAACATTTGGACACAAATGTGTCTGGTCAGCTAACACACTAATGTAGGGAGACAAGCCACGCTCTGGGAGGCAGGGCACCCCTGCCCGGGGACCGCAACTCCCTGTCCCCCTGACACGCAGTGTGACCTCGGTCAGTGAAATCCTTGGCCTGTGTGTGCACTCGTGCCTCGTCTGTCACGTTGGGAATAATCTCCAGTTTCTTTGAGACCAGTAGAGCATGAGGTGGACCATAAAGTAATTGTAGATTCCACAATTTGTTTTTTTCTAAGTCAGGTTGGCATTCCTCAGAGCAGCCACCAAGGAAACCAGATGGTTATTTGGGTTATGTTTTCATTGCTCCAGACACCCAGGAGCTTTATTTTGAGAACACCCTCAAAGACTGTAGCACAGGATTTTCCATAAGCCCAACTCATGAGGATGAATTTGACTTTTTAGATTCTCTCAGCTCACTTGGGATCAAATCTGATTAAAAAGGTAGATGGCCGGCCAAGATGAAGAGCTACTGGTCTGTGTCAAAGGTGAAGTAGGAGACAGAAGCTGGCTCTGAGACCAGTTTGCAAGGAGAATATCACGGAGATGAACGTCTCTCCTCACAAGATGGTGCATTGGAAATACTTCTTCATTTGGGTGTAAAAATACTGGCATGCTCACTTTTTAAAAATCTCACTTATAGATACTTTGAAACCTTTGAAAGCTCTATGCAAATACTAATTATTTTTTCACGATTTGATTTTATCTGGTTATTTTTTCTTATTAGAATAAAACTGACTCAGAATTATTAGAGAAAAGAGAAATCATTATATAGTCTGATGAAAACACCTGCAGGCACTGAGAATTTGTTTTCAAGTACGTGAACTAGCCCTGGTAGCATGTAGAGTACTGGCAAACATCACAGACCATAGAATGTAGGGCTAAATGGAACCTTTAGCCAAATGGGGCCTGTCTTAGGATTCTGACTCTAACTGCCAACGTGGGTTTTTTCCCTCCACCACCAAACATGTCTCTGACACCAGCTGGGAGTCCTGCAATTCAACCCAGTTTTGACACTGTCAACTTGGAGATGGCATCAGATCCCACAGGTTAAAGGCTCCATCTCCTAAGAATGCCCCCTAACACACATACACATACACACACACACACACACACACGTGCACACACACACACACACAGTAGATGCCAGAAGCAGGTCCAGGTTGTCTCCTGGACTTTTGACCCTATAGGCTATAGATTGGAGATTCCAATGACCCCCTCCTTGGGTTTGATTTACTAGAGCATCCTCCAGAACTCAAATGTTTTGCTTCCTAGATCTCAAGCTTATTATAGAAGGATATAACACAGGAACAGCTGTGTTATGGAAGAGATGCATAGGGTAAGGTATGGGGAAAGGGTGTGGAGCTTCCTGCTCTCTGAGCCCCATCCTTTTGGTATTTATGGAGACCTCATTACATAGGCAAGGTTGATTGGATCCCTGGCCATTGGTGATTGATTCAACTGCCAGCCATTCTTCCCTCTCAAGAAGTCAGGGGATAGGACTGAAAGTCCCGCCCCCCTAATCACACACCGTGGGCTTGGTTCTCCTGGCAACCACTCCCCATCCTTAAGTGCTTCCCCAAAGTCACCCGATTAATATAAAGACACCTCTGTTATTCTTATCACTTAGGAAATTCCAAGGGTGTAGGCCAGGAAAGGTGATGAAAACCAAGTATATATTTCTTATTATAAATCACAATATCACAGATCGATGAGGTGGCATTGTATAGAATGGTCATGCGAGGTCTTATCTGCTGTCACATAGTAGAAAGGAAGGAAAGGGAAGGGAAGAGAAGAGAAGGGGATAGATCCAGGGTGTGAAGCTCCTGCCCCTTTGGGGGGAGTTCTTTTCTTCGTTGCTTATTTTCCGTTATTTGACTGAATGAATAAACGAGTGAGGGTATGATTATGTCTAAATTTGTAGATGGAAGTAGATACTTACTTAAGTACTGCAAGGTTTGGTTTTTTATTTGCTTAGAAAAGCTTTTATTAGCGGAGTCAGGAAAATTAGTAGAAGGGACCTAAGAGACCATTGAGTCCAGTTCCCAGTATGACCAGCAAGGAAAGGATGCCAGGCTACCGGACCGGAGTTCAGGGCCAAGCTAGAACTGATGCAGTATGCTGTTTACGGACATGCGCTAGGATGTTCAAAAGACCTGGCCTGGCAGGCTCGGCAGGGAGGAAAGGGGGTCTAATCCCTCTTTGCCCAATCTTTACATCGTTTGAACAGCAGCTCAAATGACTGCAGTGGTCACTCTTTTTCCTTTTATCTTTCCTACGTTTGTCCGACTTCAGTGCCCGCGACTGCCCCATTCATCATAGGAGAGCAAGCCGGAGCAGCCTCACGCTCACAGAAACAGCCTTTCACTGGTCATACTGGCTGTAGCATCCAGGCAGCTTGGCATCCGGTCACACCAGAGTTGAGCTAGAGTAGCTTAGGTAAAAATCTCAATTAATTAGATTCTTTTTTTGTATGTGGCTTTCCCCAGGAGGAAAGTTGGAGTAACCATTTTAAAAACGGGTTTGTAGAGAACAGTTTCTGTATTAAGATAGATTGGAGAGGGGCGCCTGGGTGGCTCAGTCGTTAAGCGTCTGCCTTCGGCTCAGGTCATGATCCCAGGGTCCTGGGATCGAGCCCCGCATCGGGCTCCATGCTCGGCGGGAAGCCTGCTTCTCCCTCTCCCACTCCCCCTGCTTGTGTTCCTGCTCTCACTATGTCTCTCTCTGTCAAATAAATAAATAAAATCTTTAAAAAAAAAAAAGTTTAAAAAAAAAAAAAAAGATAGATTGGAGAGACCAAGTGCCTTCGGAGGAAAAGAACAGGGCTGAGGGTACAAAGAGATGAAAATCTTAAACATCTTTTGCCTTTTCTTGAAAGGTCTGATACTAAGCGATTGTCAGGTTTTTTTATAGCTTTAAGGTTTTAAACCCATTTCTGCTAAATTTTCTGCAAAGGAGTACTGTCCGTCCAGCTGTAGTCATTAAACGTTATTTCAGGAAGTGACCAGAAGGGGTCATTAGAAGACGTTTTTCTCTGGGGATGGTTTACCTTTACCTCCTTGTTCTCAGCTCAAGGGCAAGGGAAAAAACAGAGCTATTCCTCTGGTGGAATGATGATGCATCTTTATCTGGCAAGTCCGATTTCAGCTTTGCATTGCAATCAGCTTTAAGATTTGGGGGAGGGGGCATCTTAGAAAAGGGGATGCTTATATTAATTTTCCAGACATGGCATTCTTCAGAATAAATGAAAATGAAACTCAAAAAGATTAAAATTAGGTAGCTGTGGTCACGTTTTGGCCAAAGACTAATTTACCCAAACTATACTTCTGTTACAAGGAAGGGTTTGGTGCTGAACCCCTTTTGCTTGGCCTGTTTTCCCCCCCAGGTTAGCGCTATTGAAGAAGAGTGGTGAAGAAGATTGGAAGAACAGACTTACCAGAAAGCAGGAGTATGGCAAGGCGTCTGTCACCGGCAGCCTGCACATACAAGAAGCAGAACAGTCCCTCAAGAAGAAGGTAATGTTTTCCGTGTTAGGAAAAAGCATTCCACTAACATCACGCTTGGAAGTGCATCAGGTAGGCAAGCATGCCCTAACTAATGCCCACCCTGTGAAGCACTGTCCTGCCGTGGGTACACACTGCACATCGGTCTCACAGTGGCCGAAACCAATCAAAAGGTAGAGTCTTGAGATGCTATCAAAGTGTTAGCAGCACTGCTTACATAATGCGTCACGCAAGCAAGTTCCTACATTTTGAAGTGTGTGCTTTGGTTTAAAACCTTCCAAAATGAAGTCTGACATTAGTGTTATTAAAACCCTTATAGTGAAAATCTTCAATTGACCACAAGCAGTTTATAAGATGCATATAAAATGTGGACTTGAATGTCTTATGCTGAGATTTAAAACTGAAACATACAAAACAAGGACGTGCGTGTGGTCAGTGAGTACTTATTTTCGTGATTGTGAGCGTGTTTTACAATGAGGAGGTGTGCCTTTTGTTGAGAATGTACAGCAAAATATGTTACAAATTGAAATAAAATCAAGTAATGCATTGTTATCGATACTGGCAAGCATTTCATCTGCAAAAGTCCTGACGAATTGTTAAATTACTAGTGTAATGATGACCAGCTTTCAACCAGTCAGTGCACACTCTCAAAGCTGATGGTGAATTTCCCGTTGCTTGGCCCTAGGCTTGCAAATGCATGTGCTGGCTGGGGACAAGGTCACATGTCCACTGGCCAACTTCTAGGGTCATAAGTCTTTAAATAGAAATGAAGAAAAAAAACCCAACAATTCCATCAGGGTGATCACCTGTACCCCTTTTAGTTCTAAAGCAGCTTAGCATCTGTGGAAGAGAGGAATTGTGAATGTGGCCTTTTGATGCATTCAGGAACTTCCACGAAAGGGAGGTGCCCATGTAGGATGCTAAGGCGGGAACTCCGATGCTATTTGATATGGTACTTGTGTGTCCTCTTAGGTTAAACTGGGACAACAATTTGAATTTTCTCTTTTGAGACATATAGGATATTAAAGATAATGACCGAAGACATTTAATTGCAGCCATTTGTAAGGTTCTCCAATAGAGCTGGATATTTAAAAGCATGTGGGTGAAGTCTGGATTTCAAGAACGAGATCTTGAAGTGAAAAAACAACCAACCCTGGGTCCCTCAATGTATCCCTGTTGCCCACACACTTTATTTAAAAGGGTCTTGAAATCATCGGTTCGACAATAACTTTAACACTCACCTCTTGTTGGTCGTTTTGGAAGATGCAGAGAAGCTATGGGAGCTGACAGCCCCACGTGGCCAGGTGAAAGGAAAGATACAGCTGTCATGCATAAAGCCGGCTAGGTTCCTCGGGAACAGTGAATGACATAGGCGCCCTACCCCTGAGAAGACGGGGGGGGGGGATCATTTGAGCTGTGGTAGAGGATCAGATCTGAACTGCCTCCCACTTGACGAAGGTTTTCAGAAGGCAGGAGGGATGAGGTGGGGACTGTAGTTGCCCGTGGGGGCGGGGAGCACAGCCCACAGAAGCGCCAGGGCTCAAAGCGTGCCCAGGGCCCGAGTGTGCAGACGTGTCTCTGGGCTCCTGGACGCTGCAGATGACGCAGCCTTCGTGAACTCACTTTTCCTCCTCCTCCTCCTCCTCCTCCTCCTCCTCCTCCTCCTCAGTGACCTAGTTCACCACGGCCTGAGACAGTAAGCTCTTTGAAGTTAAAATAAGCCGATCTATTCTAGGCTTTTGTAACAGACATTGGGAAATCTCAAGTTCTGTTGAGGTCAAGTGGTTTTCACATGGCCCCTGATAAGCCCTTGGCTTCTTTTCTTCCCGAGGGCTGGCAGTATAGTTCAGTCACACCTTCGCTGGGCTCAGATGTGAGGTGCCTTAAACCTAATCTGTCTTCAGAGGGTCCCCCGACAGCCAGGGAGGGCTCGAGAGACGCCACTGCTTGCTGGGCGTCTGAATGCTGCCCCAGAGAAAGACATTCATGCCATATGGTGCATGCAGATGGGATCTTGCCACATGGGCTGGATCCAGACTTGCTGATGGAGAGCTCTGCTAAGGGGAGCAAGCTCTAGAACCTTCCATCTTTTCCACCAAGAGAAGAAGAGAGCTGGTTATGCAGTCAGGGCATCACTTCCGGCAGTTTGTGAATTCATCAAAGGCACGTAACTGGTGGCCAAACATTTTCCAGTTTGCCCTCCTCCGGCTTTTGTGTGTTGTAAGCGCAGCCCCATGAGTTGCAACCTGGGGAAATGCAGAGGAGGCAGGAAATAGAGACAGGACTCTATATAAATCACGTCCATGGCCCCTATGAAAATCCTCGCTGTCCAGTAAAAATAGAATGTGAGCAGCATAAGTAATTTTAGATTGTCTAGTAGCCACATTAAAAACAAATGTCAAAGGTTGCCTCGAAAAACCTGTAAGGGTCTTGCTTCTGTCAGTTTGCCCCCAAACAAAACAAATTTGTGGTGCTCTAACCAGCACGTCATTCTGGATCCTCCCTGGGAAGAAAATACCTCTTGGCCCATGAATAGATTTGGGGAACTAAGTTAGAGCTTCTCATTCCCTACAAAAAGACTAGCCATGTCTCAGAGAATACCTCACTTAAGCAGCAGTTCCCTGTTTTCCAAATGTATTCCCCCCCGAATTGGGATGAATGATTTGGAGATTCCGAGCGCAAATCATTTACGTAGCTGACTCTCCCATTTCTCTTAACAACCGGTCTGGGTTCTTCCTCTCTCCTCTTTCTCTCCCTTCTCTCCCCTTGCCACTCTTCTTCTCTTCTCTCTTCTTTCTCCTGTTCTTGGTTTAGTCCAGGGAAGGGCTAACCTGACTTCAGCATTTTTGCTTTTGTAGCATATATAATTAGTTCTGAAGATGGGAAAGCCATGTGGTTTGTAGATTTGGCCAGGTCCACACTGTCTGGAATGTGTGCACTTGAGCATGATCTGTAGACCGTTCCCTCCAGGCTAACTCATTACGTCCAAAGAGCGAAAAAAATGAAGCAAAGTTTTCAAAGCGCGAGTCTCTCTGTTACAACTCAATTGCATTTATTTATTTTTACCAAGTAATTATTTTAAATTTCAACCTCATTTTGGCATGTTTGACATCAAGGCATGTCGTGACTCATGACAATTTTAAGATAATCATCCAATATATCAGACTTTTTTTCCAGGAAATAAAATCCCTTTATAGAGTTTTTGCCATTACAATCCAGCTCTATGTCTGAGTCACAGATGTGGATTTACTATCCAGCTGTGCTCAGTAGTATCAGGTCAGTGAATCAAGCTAAGATCTATGATGTCCGCAGAGCATGTTCTTGAAAATTCGATGAAGGTAAATCTGCCACATTCACGTTCTAATCATCTGCTGACATTGAAATTCCAAATTACAATTCAGGAGAAAGAAGTCCACTCAAAGAGCTAGGGGAGGAGGGGGAGAAAGGCTGATGGTATGACCTCCAAATGAAAGATTATTATCCCACTGATGGGATATGAGTTTACCTGGTGTTTGTACCACCTGACTGTGTGCTCGAGCATGTGCATGCGTCTGATTGAGCCCAGGCACTAAATCCTTGAAAATGATTGTGACACCCTAACCCAACCGTATTCTCCAGCACTCTGCAATGTTTCCTATTTGTTTTAACCTGTAGGAAGAAGGAGGATTTGCAGATGATAGTGCCATTTCTAATCTGCTTTGGGTAAGCCTGACTCTAACATAGATGTCCTCTAGATTATAGCCACAGTTCGACCTCGCCATGTGTAATCTTCATCACTGGTGTTTCCCTTTTAAGCCCTCACTGTTTGGTTCCTTACCCCCAGACAAGATGCCACCTCTATCCAGAGAAGGGAGCTATCCTGTTTCCTTAATTTTTTTTAATCATATAATGACAAACTTTAAAGACTTTAAGTAAGAGATTTTACGTTAAATGCTGAAACTGTCAATGAAAGTCACGGTTCCCTCTCAGTAACTGCATATCATAGAGATTGCAGTAATCTTGTCATTACCTCATGTAATTACTGCACAGAACTGACTTGGGTATATTTACTGTGCTTGTGTGGATTTCTGTTAGCACTCTAAGAAAACAAACAAATAGGAAGGACTCTTGAAAAGAGAACTGAAATTGCAATGAGTAAATTAACATCCTGGTAGAGAAATCTTGTTTTTATCTCTACTCCTCCCCTCCCAGCTCTGATACACCTTCTCTTTTCATCTCTAATCCTCTTGCTTTGCTCTATAGGAACCTGTATATGCTTCTACTTATTCTCCTGCTATACCTGCTGCCCATAAACACCTGTCTTTTGTATCTATTAATCAGGTGAGGAAAAGCCTACACATTTTAAGCCTCATTGCAATTTCTGAGCAGTAGGGAAGAACTTGTTTCATTTGGGGAAGTAACTCCTTTGCTGCATTTCAGTGTGTGTTGTGTTTGTGTGTGTGTGTGTGTAATCCGTTCTCATAAATTTAGAGCTAGTCACACACATCACATCCATGGGTCAGACTTTTAGGTAGACTTGATGGCATTCATTCACTGAATGAATCGTGAAATGGGTTTAAGAGGAAAATTTCCCCCTTTTAATGTCCAATCTTCATATCCTAAGGTAAGTCAGGAGCCCAAGGAATACGCCAGAGTGTTCCTGCTCCCGCTTGGGAACAGTGCTATCTTTCTAAGCTTGATAAAGGAAGATGTGGAGATGTGGTGGAGGCAGTTGGGTGTGGACGGGCCGGAGAGGAAGATACAGAAAAGAAGAGGCTATTCAGACAGGAACTGCTTGCAGTGATTTACTGAGATGAGAAACCACAGACCTCCTGCCCTTTACGCTCTGTCTTCACTGTACCTTATCTGAACCCCACTCCAGAAAGGAGATCTGGCTTGGGCAGAATCATTCCGTTGGTGCATAACACATGATCCTTGTTAAAACTCAAAGTACCAGTGATTGTTTTTTATTCCCCTTGGAATGTCCCTGGGGTCAAAATAGCTATGAGAAGTGCCTGCATCCACTTTGTCATGAATCCCAGATGCTAGCCTCTTTCCTTCTGAGGGAACTTAACCTAGTCATTTCCCTCTGAGGGCGTTTGTCTCCTCATCAGAACTGGGACTTTCTTACCTCTAAGATGTCCTCTAACTAAAAATTTCATGACTATACTGTTCCTTTAGGATGAGTGGTGACAAAACAGGTCTTTGAGGAAGACACTGAGACCTTATTTCAAATATGAAACTGACAGAGTCCTATCAGAGCAAGGTGTCTGCTGGGCCCTCCTACCTCACCTTATATCTTCACAGTGGAAACCCCCCTCTTCCTCACTCTCCTGCATTCCTCTGAAGTTAGGAATGCTGGTCTGTGAGAGCCCAGCCCCACACAGACATCAGGGTCAGCCCCCAAAAACAGGCTGAAATCTGGAGCAAACCTGCTGTTCTATCACCGAGGGGGTGGGGATAGGTTGTTTCTTCTAAATAAGTCATATTAAACTTGAAAAGAAAAGATATATTACTGAACTGTTTAAATATAAATTATATTTATTATATATATATGCACATACATACATTTTTTAATAAACTTTATTTTTTTAAAGGAGTTTTAGGTTCACAGCAAAATTGAGCCAAAAGTATAGAGATTTCCCATATATCTTCTGCCCTCCCGCCCACCCCACCCCCACATACACACACACATAGTCTTCCCCACTATCAACATCCCACACCAGAGTGGTACATTTGTTAAACGTGTTGAACCTGCATTGACACATCATTAGTGCCCAATGTCCATAGTTTACATTTGGATTCACTCTTGGTGCATAGTCTCTGGATTTTGACAAATGTATAATGACATGTATCCATCATTATAGTATCATATAGACTAGTTTCACTGCCCTAAAAACCCCCTGCACTCCATCTATTTATACCTCCCTCCCTCGAATTCTTGGCAGTTTCTTTATTGTCTCCATGGTTTTGTCTCTTCCAGAAGGTCATATAGTTGGGATCATGTAGCATGTAGCCTTTTCAGATGAGCTTCTTTCACTGTGTCATATGCATTTAAGATGCCTCCCTGTCTTTTCATGGCTCGATAGCTTCTTTTTTTTTTTTTTTTTTAATTTTATTTATTCATTTGAGAGAGAGCACGAGAGGGGGGAGGGTCAGAGGGAGAAGCAGACTCCCTGCTGAGCAGGGAGCCCGATGTGGGACTCGATCCCGGAACTCCAGGATCACGACCTGAGCCGAAGGCAGTCGCCTAACCAACTGAGCCACCCAGGCACCCGATAGCTTCTTTCTTTTTAGTGCTGAATAATATTCTCTCTCTGGTTATACCACAGTTTGTTTGTTTGTTTGTTTTAAAAATATGGAACACTTCATGAATCTGCATGTCATTCTTGTGCAAGGGGCCATGCTGATCTTCTCCGTATCATTCCAGTTTTAGTATACGTGCTGCCAAAGGAAGCACGTACCACAGTTGATTTATCCATTTGCTTACCGAAGGGCAACTTGGTTGCTTCCAATTTTTGGCAATTACAAATAAAGTTGCTATAAATATCCATCTGCAGGTTTTTGTGTAGACATTTTCGACTCATTTGGGTATCAAGCAGCACCGTTGCTGGATCATATGTTAAGACTCCTCTTAGTTTTGTAAGAAACTGCCAAACTGTCTTGCAAAGTGGCTGTACCAAAGTTTGCATTCCCACCAGCAAAAAATAAGAGTGCCTGTTGCTGCATATCCTCACCAACATTTGGTGTTGTCAGTGTTCTGGACTTTGGCTGTTCTAATGGGTGTATAGTGGTATCTCATTGTTGTCTGAATTTGCAGTTCTCTAATGACTTTTGAGGTGGAGCACCTGTTCATATGCTTGTTTGCCACACATATATCTTCTTTGTTGAGATGTCTGTTCAGATCTTTGCCCATTTTTCAGTTGGTTGGTTGTTTTCTTATTGATGAGTTTTAAGAGTTCTTTGTATATTTTGGATAACATTTCTCTATCAGGTGTGTCCTTTGCAAATATTTTCTCAGTCTGTGTCTTGTCTTCTCATTCTCTTGACAGTGCTTTCACAGAGCAAAGGCTTTTTTATTTCAATGAATTTCAGTTTACCAGTTCTTTCTTTCATTAGTGTTGTACCTAAAAAGTCATCATTGAATTCACAGTAATCTAGATTTTTCTTCCATGCTATCTTCTATAAATTTTATAGTTTGACATTTTACATTTAGACTTATGATCCATCTTGAGTTAATTTTTGTGGAGGGTGTAAATTCTGTATCTAGATTTTCTTTTTCCGTCAGGAAGTGGATATCTAGTTGTTCCAGCACCATTTCTTGAAAAGACGTTTTAAGTTCACTGTATTGCCTTGGACCTTTCAAAGCTAGTTGAGTATATTTGTATGAGTGTGTTTCTAGGGTCTCTATTCTGTTCTATTGATCTACTGATCTGTTTTTGTTTTTTTTTTTTTTCCTCAGTAATACCACACTGTCTTGATTATTATAGCTTTATAGTAAGTCTTAAAGTCGGGTAGTGTCAGTCCTCCAATTTCGTTCTTCTCCTTTGTTATTGTGTTGGCTGTTCTGAGTCTTTCCCCCTCTCCATATAAACTTTAGAATTAGTTCATCAGTATCCACAAAGTAATTTGCTGAGATTTTGACTGAAATTGCACCAGATCTGTAGATCAAGTTGGAAAGAACTGGCATCTTGACAATACTGTAGCTTCCAATCCATGAACATGGAATATCTCTCCATGCATTTTTAAGTTTAAAGAAAAATACCACGTACAGTAAGAGGTAGTTTATGTTTCATCACTTCAGAATTAAAATAGCCTTAAAATTCTGTATTTTTATATCTTGACAACTTTCTCAGATAAACATTTTATATACCAGACTTTGTAGCACTACCTCATCAGTGTTCTTGGAGACTTCTTACCTCCCACAGACCTGGTATCTGTGTTCACTAATGCAGAGGCTCAGAAAAGAAAATAGAGTGTTACAACAGCATACATGTTCTGTCTAAATGGACCATTTGTCCCTTTGTTGGGCTTTCACGTGCATTTCCTTCTTCCTCACATGCCTCACAACTGTACCAGAAGAAGATTTCCCTGTATCCCTCTCCCTTCATCTGAGTTGCTGGTAGATGGTGGCAAGACCATGGTTAGTTGGAGGTCTAAGCCTAGTTGGGATCTTTCTCCATGTTTTGTTCAAGCCATTGAAGGCTGTGTGCGCTGACAAGGGACTGAAATCACTGAAGGAGGGGGCGAAGCCACAATTCTTTAACAGTACACAGAATTCTAAAAAAAAAAAAAAAAAGTAAGTAGTACTGATTTGTCACTTTATTTCTACTACTTAATCTGTGCTCTTATAATTTCTTTAGTTTAACTAGATGTGAATAAGATAAAAATTTAAAAACCTGATCACAGTATTTTCTATCCATGAAGCTCTCCAGTTGTGGAAGAATTTTACCCTTAAATCTGTACTGATCCTAGGAAAACATGTTAGATTTGCTCACTCTTCTTGTATCACCTCTCTGTGTCAGCAACATGTGGGAAGAGTTGCAGTATGCATTCTCAGTAGGTATACAGAAGCAAACCCATCAGTAATGATGCAGTGACATGAAAACATTCTTGCAGATTGATCCTTTGCCTAACTTCAAACTGTGTCCTACCAAGTCCCTGCCATCCCTAAGACCTGCCTTCCTTCCCAGCTGTCCAGCTGTTTTCACTTGTTTCACTGCCTCACTGCCTTCTACACACACACACACGCACATGCACACCCACGCACACAGGTACACGCAGATGTTTATTCCTTCCCCTCACTGTTTCCATCTCTCTGTACCACATTCATGGGATCTGCATTTGAAAGAATGGAGGACAGATGGAGCAGGGCCTCTATTCATATTCTGTCCCAACTCTTTTACCATTCCAGTCAATCCTAAATATCATCAGCTAAACCTAGACAAGCCTGGAAAATGGCACAATACTTATTATAATATATACCACGTCCTTCTCTAAACAAGGAAAGAAAAACTTAGAAGGGAAAAACAAGACAAGACAATAATGAAATGGAAAGCTAAAAAAAAAGTCAATGGACAAAGATGTGTGTCTTGTTCTCACATTTTGAGTTCAAAAGTTTAATAGCAGCTTGTGAGAAATTGTATTAATCTTCTCAGGGGATAAATAAGCTGTATATTTCTTACCCCACTAGAGAGCCATCTGAAGTCAGATGACAAAGATTGGGCAAACTACTGGAAGCTTCTAATAGCTGTATCATTCCTGGGCTCGTAGCTTCCATGTTCCTGCAGGAGCTCCCGGGGAATCTGAGTGCTTTGGGAAATGGAGTTGTGGATTCGGGGATGCCATTTTTTTGAGTCATGAACCACACCCCGCCACCACACCTGGGACTTTGGAGATGTGTTACCAAGTTCGGCAGAACTAATGATGTCTGGATCTTTGGAGAAGAAAACTTTCTTGGCACTTCAGATATTTTTTCAAAATGTTTTAAGCCAAGTGCTACACTGATTTGATTAAAATTCACTCCTGAAACTTCATTTTCAAAGAAAATGTATTATCTTTTTTTGAATTTTGATGAGGTCTTCCTGGCAAGTCAACCTCAGAGTTTATTTAATAAGAGTATTTGATTCAGAGAATTACTTGGAATTAAGGTCATCTCACCAGTCGTAAGTGGAAAAGTGAAGGAAAAGGGTTTTTAACTTTGGGATAATATTTTATTTTGATAAAATTTAAAACTTACCAAAAAAGGGCCAATGATAGGGCTCTCTCATATACCCTTTACCAAAGCCACCAACTGTTAGCATTTGCTCGCCGCCCCCACCCCGTCTCCTCTCTTCCCTCCACCGCGTCCCCTGCCACTGCTGCTGACTTCCCCCTTCCCCTTCTGTCTTGTATACACATACATGATATACATGGTTGGGGCTACCCTAACAGAACGCCATAGACTGAGTGGCTTATAAACAGCAGAAATTGATTTCTCACAGTTCCGGAGGCTGAAAGTTCAAGATCAGGGTGCCAGTATATTCTGTGTCTGGTGAGAGCCTGCTTGCTCTTTGTTGATGCTCCCTGCATCCTCACATGGTGACTGTCCTCACATGGTGGGACGAGCAGGGGAGCCTTCTGGGGTGTCCTTTATAAGGGTGTTACTCCTCTTCAGGAGGGCTCCACCTTCCTGACCTAACACCTCCCAAAGGCCTCACCTCGGGTGCCTGGGTGGCTCAGTCGGTTAAGCGACTGCCTTCGGCTCAGGTCATGATCC